GTAGGTGTATATATATATATATATATATATATATATATATATTTAAATCTAAAAAAAAGTTTTTATATAATAAATTATCTATTCTCAGAACAGTTATTCCCTTTAAAAAATCTCCCTTAACATCATAATTTTATATCTTTATACTAAAGAAATGCAAAAATTATGATATATTATTGTTTTTCAATAAAATCTTTTATTAATGTGCATTGCATATTAATTAAAAGTGATTCATATGAAATATATCAACACATTTAATCAATTTATATATTTTGATATTCCTCATTAAATGTATTTCACACTCGAATTTTTGAGAATCTCAGATCTCTTATTATGTGCGTCATGTATTCTTCGCTCAAAACAAACTTTAATAAAATCTATTTAATTCGTCAAACAATTTATACACATAATTTATAACATAATCAATAAATATGTGTGTCATATACATATATTATCTGTCCGCTTTTCTATACAATAATGAATGCATGAATAGGATAGAATAAGATCATTTTTTGATCACGACGTTTTTGTTCCTAATGTTTCACTTCCAACATCTTGTTCTCATAAACAGCGCATTATAGATAACAGAGAGTTTTAAATTTTAACTATTATAAAATATTACATTGCATAAATAATATTAAAACATTCAGTTTATCAATGTATTACGAATGTACAACGAATTAATGAAATTTATTAAAGATATTATGTTTTATAATTTACCTCGTAATTTATCAATGTTCATGAACATAAATATATATAATTACATATAAAAACTATTATTAAATGACATTTTTTAAATAAAATACAATTCTATACTAAAAAAAATTATAATCTACTTTCTCTGTGAGATCATTTATATTTCAAATCAATGAATTTGCACACACAAATCATATTTCTATATATTCTTTATATTAAATTAATAAATAAATAACATAAAATTATTTATCTCATCTATTTCCCACAGATTATTAATTTCTCCGGATTTTTTACAACATTCATAAAATCTTATAGCAATAAATAGTATGAAACATCCGTGCGCATTTCTCTTAGTTTCTTACGTATTGTTTCTTATTTAAAAGATCGTACAAATCGCTCTCGAACATCTTATCTAACCTTTAATAGACAGATAATTTAATTTTATAAATAAATAACAGATCACTACATATACTCTGAAATTAACGTGTTCTTCAACATGTGCCTGGGGTCGATCCAACGTCGCGCTCATGGAGAGAGGATGTTGGAAGTAAAATCCACAAAATAATAAAAATAACCTACCTCATCAGTGCAAGTTACTTCGCTAAGATTCATCCGAATCAGTCACTGCTAATATCACCTTCAACGTTCCTGTCTTTTCAATTAATTCCTACGATTAATTTCACGATCGTCGCGGTCGTTTTCCTCTTCGTTCCTCGTCGAGAAGTCATTCTGGACCGAGACAAAAAAGTTGCCTCGTGTTAACCAACGTCTTACTTACAAATGCTGATCTTTCGATTGCCGGCGAATTGCCTTGTCCTAAAGTGTTAATTATACTAAAAAATCGAGCAGCACCAGCAATCGTTATCCGAAAAAGAATCGTCTCGAAAAATGAATAATGAAACAAAATAAACAAAAAGAGAAGAAGATCTTTTTAGAACGTTTACGATCCTTATCACGTGCCTAAATTTTGTCCTGAGATTTCACGTCGAGGAAATAAGAGGAGAAGCGCTAGATCGGTGTCTCGCGTCTCATTACTTCTTTTTGCGAGATGGATCTTCCTACGTGCGATCGATTTCCCCTCAATTCGCATTAGAATTAAAGAGAAATCGCCTATGTTTCCAATCCCCGTCGATATAGTGTTATGATCGATCTATCGATCTCAATCTTAAAGTGAGTTCTTAGAAAACGTACTATATCAAGGATACTTGATCCGCCGATCGTCGATCGTCCCTCGTGCGTTTTCAATCCTTCTCACAGGAGATTATTAAACGACACAAGTCTTCCTAACTACACGTAATTTTCTAAATAATGATCCTTTTCTTCGCTCAGCTGACGGATTGTTTCCATTCGCGCAATAATATCGTAAGTCCGTCGTTAATTTCGCAAGACAACTTCGTGAAAATTGTCTATCGCGCGTTGAACAGCTCGAGGAAAATTCTCTTGAAGAATATACGGTTGTACCATCGAGCTTCGAGGCAGATCCTTGGAATCTCGGAATCTCTCTTGCATCCAAGCGAACTTGTATCTAAGAGTTTTCCAAGGATGCTCCGAGACCCTCGAAGGACCATTTCGCTTAGTCTCCTCTGCCTCTCTCGACCTTCGATTCTTTCCGACGACGAAAGGCGACAAAAGACGAGCACGATCTCGATCCCACGTCCTGGCATGTCCCCTGTACACAAGCCTCGAGCACAAGGCAATGTCCTGCCAGTGTGGATGCTCCCCTTACACATACCACTCCTTAATATCTATCAGTTCTCGCTTCTTATTGTTTTTACTGCCGTTGGCGCCATTTTTCAGGGCGCCGTTGAAGGGCTGGCCGGAGCCCGCGGCGCCCAGCAAGGCCGCGTTCGGATCCTGGCAGAACGTCTTCGTCTCGTCCACCTTGTAGCTCGTTTCCGGCCGGTTCTTAAACTTGAGGATTATTAGTATAATCAGGACTATCGCTATCAGCGCGGCGGCTATGATGCCGATTATAAGCGCGGCGTTCTCGGCCGCCTCGGACGTAATCCGCTTATTATTGTTGTTCTTGGGCGGAGTGGGCATCGGTGGGTACACCGGTGGTGGAGGCGGCGGTGGCGGCTCCGTCATCTCCGTCGGGATTGTTTGCGTCGTCACGGTTGTCGATCGATGCGTCACGACGCTGCTGTAAAGCGTAAACGGCACTTGTTTAATATTAATTCCAAATTAACTCGTTTATAGATCAATTTTAATTTTGGTAACGTGAGAAATTTTGCAACAATTTTTCTGTATCACAAATTTTTTTTCTGTATCACAAATTTTTTTTTATATCGATCGGTACATATTTGCTGATAACATTTCCAATAATTAATAATGTTAAATTAAATCATTATCAAAATTGCAGACTGAAAAGTGTAAAATTGTAAAATTTAAGAGTTGCAAAATTTTTTAACTTGTAACCTCGAATTATATGTGTACCTTAACACGAGATAAATTGATTCTGTTAATTGCGTTTTGCTCCGTTAACGTTTTCTGCAAAAGATTCCTCAACTAATTTTTTCAACTTATAAGTTTATATAAGCATAAAAAATTGAAAAAATATATTCTATGACTAAGCTATCAACAGGAAATAATCTGAATCATTCCGCGTGTTCCACGTGTTTCAACGTGAAGTTTCGATAGGAAATGCACAGTTTCGTGTAAACGTACGCTAAACGTTTACCATAATTAATAATCAATGAATACGAGCGAGCGATTATTCGACACGGCGTTGCCGTTCAACAGCTCGAAACGTCATCGCTGACAGACGCACGCACCTGCTATGGCTGGTCTCGAGGTCTGTGGTTGACACATTATATTGGACGGAGACGGTGACGACGTCGCGATTCAACGTTGTCGACGACGCCGACGACGTCGTCTGGATGCTGGTATGGCTCGTCGAGTACTCACGAGGCGTCGTGTACGTCACCGAGCTGATATCTGTGACAGAAAGCAGAGGGTAAAAAAAATGTTCGTCAGGGGGCTGCTTCGCCTCGTTCCATCGCGCGGAGGGGATGTTTCAGGAGAAAGAGGTAGAGGAGGAGGGCGAGAGGGAGGGGGAGGGGAAGGGAAACGCAGGGAGAAGGGTATGGAAATGAAAGGGACGGGATGTGAAACGTGCGGAGGCGGCAATATTTACGCGTGCGTAGGCCGACAAATATTCACGCGTGCGTAAGCAGAAACGGCTCGAGCCGAACGATTCCGAGGACATCAGGAACGTATGTATAATGTATTATACAAGACAAAAGCCATGAGGTAACGCCAACGCGATCATCGACTCGACTTTCGATTATGACGAGAACAAAGTGATATCTTCTTTGTGCTGCGGATCACGTCTCGTATTTATGCACTATAGTCTTGCAAATGTTAAACGCCAACAGCTTGAAATGAAATCCGCAATATGTATATAATAATGTTTCAGGGAGAAATAATAGAATATTAATTATAAAAAATTCTAATATATACATATATACATATATATATATATATATATATATATAGACACTATATTATATATATATATAATTATATACTATATACACTATATATATATATATATATATATATATATATATATATAAAATCAATTTTAGAAAACTTAAAGTAGCTTGCAAATAAGTTCTTCTTTGTAAAGTCTTCCTCGAGATTTAAAAATTCAGGATTTACGAAACATTGCATTTTGCAGCTTTCTGCTGAAAGAAAAGTTTTAGAAATTATTAGGTAGAACGGATACTCTTGGAAATACCAACCGGAAGCCGAAGTGACGAAAATCTCTTCCGTTGTTCTGAGATCGCCGGAGCCCTCCTCGCAGTCTTCCTCATCGTCGCAGGATGGACGTTCTTGAATATTTTCTTTATGCAGCTTTGGCCTCAATGTCGTCGGTAATCGTGTGGGCGCTACGTATACTGGTGTGATGATATCATCTGAAAAGACAAGCGGTAATTATTAAGATTACGCATATAACGTTACAACATAAGAACAATTATATAATACATAAGATTACATAGTAATTATGCATGTAGCAAAATTTCGTATTCTGCACTGTATCCCAGTTTAAAAAATAATAACAAATATATTTCTTATCTATGATTTTATCAAAATTTTTAATAATTAAAAATAATAGTTATTCGCTGACGCTTGCATTATAAAACGTCCAAAAATAAAGAATAATGATTTGACGTCAAACGAATTCATATGTGGCTCTTATCGTTGTAAATTCTTCAGAGAAATGACATAATTGGATCACGCGGAAATTCTGTGATATACTGATCGCGTCATGTACCGGATGTGACGTTCAACCATCATTCGCAGTTATCGCGTCTCATTAACGTGGCGATGTTAATTTAGTTTTTAGTCAGTCAGAGAAGATTTTGGAACGGGACTTCAGTCCGTCGCAGGAGGTTTACTGGAAGGAGAAAAGGAGAGATGTCAGACTCTATCTCTCCGGCCGACGATCCTAAATATGTAAATGAATCGAAGATACAACCGGGCGAGCATGAAGACGAAAAGGTGGCCATGCCATGCGATACGTGCGGTGCGTGTAAGTGTATGTATGTGATGCGTGAGTGTATGCGGGACCGCCTTTCCTCACGTGACCTGATGCGTGCGGAGAGTAAAGTCGATATTAATGATTCTCAGCCGAAAAGAAACTTAGCGTGTAATACCTTGTAATTATATAATTGCTTAAGCAATACAATTAGAAAAAAAAAAATTTTATTTTCAATCATTTTAATTAACTGTCTTAAACATTCGCCCATTTATTTGTAAAAAATTAATAATAATCCTGGTCTATAATATATACATATATTAATAAAATAAAAAAATGTGTTTGGTAAGTGCCGCCAACTGACGACAGTGCCCTACCAGTACATATGTTGTCCATCCTTGTCTAGGGGAGTGCTAAACTTCTCTCCTTTCATACAACACGACAGGAGATCGATACGTGTGCTCTTATATACGGAACGACTGGTTCACGAGCGCTATCGAGAAAGTAGGTTTTTCGCAAATAATCCCTAATCCAATAATTGTATTACAAAACCGTAAAGGAAAATTTTGTTGCAAATTTCATAATGTACCCTGTTACACTCTCAAATTTTAACAACATTAAAATTTCACTGCACTGTATTGATATTCCACTCTAAGCGTTAGTGAGTAATTCAATGCTGCTGCAGTAAATTTTATTGTGAGATGGAAGTGAAATATCTATTCAGTAATTAGAGTGAATTTATCACGAATTGAAAAATTAAGATTTAATATATCGCTCTGATAAATAATTATCATCATAATTATTTAAAATTTTATTATTTGTAATTTATTCTTTCGCTGTCAATCTTTATCTCATGTTAGATTCATGTCTTACGTGGATATTGAAATAATTAATAACACTCATGTATATGATAAATACAGATACAATGTTAAACTTGTTTTTATAAGAAAAACTTAAAGTGAAATAAAATAGTAGTCAAATTTGAACAAATGCTTATATAAATAATAATTATATTATTATTTACTGCATATATTATTATTATCATTATACCACGTAATATTATTATACCACGTATATAATAATAAAAACATGCGAAAAATTTGAGATAATTTAAAATTAAAAAATTGATAATTTGAAAAAGAAAAGAGCTTTTGAAGAAACCATCAAAGGGAATCTTTAAAACATTATATCGATGAAAACGTGCGAAAAAGATTGTAATGTCATTCATTAATGCGAAATGCGATCGACGTTAAGATGTGTGATTTAGGAGATAGGACACGCGCACGAAGATAAGAATAATTCCCTCGCGGGAAAACGTGCAGAATAGACTTATTACTTACGCCTTCGGAAATATTACTTACACTTACCGGAGCCTGACTCGTAGATTGGAGTACACTCCTCGTCCTCGTCATCTCCGGCGCAGCCACTTCCTGCGCCGGAGAATATAAGGTCGTCCATGACGCCGGGAAAACCGGATGCGGGCGTCTACAAGTGAGATTAATTAGCAATAATGAAATTCTATATTAAGGAAATCAACTTAAGAGACATTGTCGTGTACCTGTTGCATTCTTTGCAAAGGCGCAGCACGATCCAAAAGACTCCCGGCTGGTAGAAGCTGCACATCTCCTCTGGTCGTAACTTTGCCATCTTTAGATGCTGCCAGCTCTAAGATTCTAGCACCATTGACGACTAAGCCGGCTATTACACCGAGAAATGGTCTTTCCACTCTGCCCTTACTGCGATTCCATCGACCACCCACTTGAATAGTCGACTGGCTGTTGAATACTGTCAGTTGATGACCTGTCAAGAAAATTTTCAAATTTATTTATTCCTGACTTCGTGTTATTTATCTTACGAATTACCGTCAATTTTTTATTAACATTAAAAGCAATAAGAAAATTACAGTTATTATCAAATCTATATATCAGTTGTATTGTTGAATGGAAAATTATAATGAACGTATAAATTATGTTACATACTAATTGATGTTTATATGGGATAGTTTTAACTACAAATGTGTATGATATAAATAAAGAAATATTTGCCTCTTATATATAAATGTATTACATCGACAAGGTTAAATCACATTTCTTTGATATTATTTGCGAAAGATTATTATTTACTCCGTCTAAACTTTCATCATATGTGCTAACCCACACATTGAAGTAAACCTATATATACATTTCTACTCGATTTGTCTTACGTTTCTTATTCGAAGTTCAAACGTTAAGAGTTTCACTTAATAATTTCAATTTGAACTCTGATTAAGTTCTAAGAGTTTTTTAATTTTAGAATAATTTATAAGGCCAGACCCGAAATTACTGCAATATCGGGTCGACCCGTAGTGGGGACGGAGCAAGCCCCGTAAACACCCACCTCGTTTCAAAAATCAGGTTAATATACTGAGTCCCCTATGGGGACTGTACCAGATATTAAGCTGATAAGAACAGATACTACACTTTTGATCTTAGCTCAAAGAGCCGAGAAGCGATAACAATATCGAATTTTGCGGGTCTTATATAGAAGGTCCTAATAAAACTTGAATACGAGAAAATACGACGCGTAGCGGCAAACGAGGCAACTATTGTGAGGATCAGCGTGACATGTCGCTTTCCTCGCGCATGTGTATTGAATGAATCCTCAATAATCAATTGTAAGAGAGAACCAGTTAAAAAAAAAGATTAAAAAACGTTTAAAAAATGTCAAGGAAGATGTGTGAATGTGTATTATATGTATGAATTTATGAAAAGTAAAATTGATGTAAAATATCTAATATTTATTTTGGTAGAAATTGTAAAGAATATCAATTGTTGAAAAAAATAAGAAAAATTATCAAAGACTCTATCAATATTCATCAGGGTAAATTCTTTATAAAATTAAAAGATAAATATTTATTTTTTATGTAAGCATATAAAATCAATTTTTCTATAAATATTCCTTACATTCTTCTTTGTTTAATCTCTTTATTTCAGTATATCCAGACTGCACTCATAAACATAGGTTGTATTCAGCAGAAAAAGCAATTTTGATGTTATAAGATTCTTTAATATATTAATATATTTGATTTATGTATTTAGATGCAGTAAAGAACTAAAGACAAGAACCAATCATATAGCAGAATGTTACGACAATTGCAAAATTATTTTTTCTGTTGAACGCAGCCATTCACTATATACGTTGCTGCAATTATAACTGTTGTTGTTATTGCATATACATGAAAAATACGTCTAAAAATTGAAAGCGATCGATATCGTCGGTCATATCCCTTCCACGATTCCGTTTTTATTCCAGTCAGAGCACGTGGCTTGAGACATGTGATCCAACCTAACTACGAGAGAATACAGTTGACACTCGTTGGTTGGGCATAGTCAGTTCACCAGCATGGCATAAAAATGCAGCTGGTACACTTGGCCTGTATAAGCTTCAATGGGAAGTGAATCCATGCATGAGCAGTGACATGCAAAGTGTCACGTGTGTACATACGTCGCAGCATGTGTCCCGAGTTAACCACTCGGGCTTATTCTCCTTCCTTTCCTTTTGTTTTTCGTACCGAGATAAAGATGTCATTGACGCCGCATTCCGATCTGAAGAAGTCCAATAAACTGTATCACTCTACTAGGAGAGCATGAACGCGCCGGGTGTGGTCGTGCTTCCGGCTGGCACTGGGAATCGAATAGAGCCGACGAAACCGAAATCTTTGCACGCTAAGAAACCAGTAATCTTCGCGATGATCCATCGTAAAGAATCAAAATTAGCACTCGTGATCAAATCTGAATAACAGCAGCACTATTTTCATATTCGTCCTCCGCCGATATTTCGTAAAGTTTTTGAGAGTAAAGATTTATTCCTACAGAATATTATAAATTAAAAAAACTGTATAAAATAAAAAAATAAAATTAAGACTTTTTTTTAGATAAGAGAAACAATGAGAAATTCCGAAATTACTAGAAAACAAGTTAGTTGTATATTTGAAGTTTGGAAATAAAAATTCTGGGTTTTTTAGTTCAGGTAATTAGCTCTTTCGCGACATAATCTAAATTGATAAGTAAACTAACAGGGAAGTATGTTGTACCGGGAGGTATCGAATCCGAAAGTGTGTTGAGCTGTCATGCTTAGACAAGTGGCACATTTGGCTAAAGTGAATCAGGAGACGAGAATGCTCAAGTCCCAGATATTCGCGTATTTACATTGTCTTGCAGAGTTATATCACGAAAATATTTGTTAATGCATTTACTTAAATAGATTGAAATCAACGATATCTATTCGTATTATTATATGTAATCGTAGCTTCTATTATTATTAATATTAATGAAATTTTAATGTAATAAAACTTTCATTGATTTGCATTAAGAAACGAATAAATGTAGCAAAGAAGAAATATTCTATGCAAAAGAAGCCTCTATAAAAATATTATATATAAAAAAAAAAGAAAATTGAAATGAAGACATCCGCGATTTTTATTTTTTTCGCAGTTGATGTAAAATCGTAAATGGCTTGGAACCGAATAAAAAATAATATCTTAATCGAAAGAAATAGAAAGATATGTTTTATGATGTTTAATTTGGACTATCACGTGGGAGGGTATCACATAGACGAAGCTGGAGCTTAATCCTAATGAATGAAAATTGAAGGGCCCGAATTTAAAGAGACGAGAGTCTCACGGATGCGCTTTGGGAACCGTCGGTTTTACGGTGAGAACTGGGAGAGCGCTGGGTATGGGAAACATCGATGATTCCCAGGCGATGATAGCGGCGTTTCGTATACGGACGTGAACAGCGAATGTAAACGCGCCGTGCACGTGCATTTCATTCGTACAACGGCTGGCTTGTCGCTTGTCCTGGCAGAACGCGAAACAAATGTGCACGCTCGGCCGCTGTGTGCAGGCTCGACTCGACCGTGGGACGTGTTTGCGTCTTCATTTCAATCGAACAATGCGATTCTCAAATCAATCATCTTTCAATTCGATCGTTCGATCGTATGATCGCTCGTAATTTCAACAATTGTTAGCCACCTACAAATATTTAAAGATGATGTAACTCGCGTAAACTGACCTGTACCTCACGTCAGATTGATGAACAAAGATCTCGCGGCATCAATCAGACGGATGATCCTACTCGATCGTCTTCGACCGGTAGCACGTTATCACTGCATCAAAATTAATTACTACCGAGCCATTAATCTTCACATCTTCATTCATGTGCCAGCTGACGGTGATTAATGAGCCAAGAAAACGAGTTTCATATATTCGCGCGTTAAGCTTAGCGCTAACTCGATGTTAATTACAGATTTTGGGATTTTCTAAGATTATTTCAATTTTAGAAGTATATGTTCATCCGATATTTCGATCACATAGAGAAAGATAGTATATATGGGAAGATAGTAAAAAAAACAACTCGTAATAAATAATAAAAGCATACAATTTAGATAAATTTAAATAATTAGACAAAAATATAAATATTTTTCTTAAAAATTTATTATAATTTATAAGCAGGCTGTTAAAGCGACTGACTAGACCTCAAGTATTTACTATTTAAAATCAACCATGAAGAGAACAAAAAGTCGCGAGTCTTTTATCACTTATTTGTATCACACTTTTGTATATAGTGATTTTTTTATAGTGACTTTTAAGATTCCACAGATTTCTCCTGTGTCTTTCCTCTTTGCTATACACCTTGCCTCGGTCTCCAAGCAACAAGAGCAATATGCGAAGAGGCGCCACGGGAATCGGCGTGCTCGCGACCGGTCGCTGAATCCTGTCTGGTAGGTTTAGAACGACCTTCAGATTCCAAGGCTGTTCCTAGCGCACGAGAGCAGCTTAGGTTAACTACCAACTCGCTATGTTTGCCTGATTCTTCTAAGCACCGACACCCGACTCTATTCAATTAAGCCATCTGAAACGTCTATTATAGAATAGACCAATAACAGGCTCGGCGCGCGTCGCTGAGAGACTACTGGTATATTATTGTTAATAATATTTTAAAATATTTTAAAATACAAGTATCAAGGAAAATAAATATGATTTTTTAAAATTGGTATTTTTCTTTCATTGTAGATTACGAGTAAAATGAAATATATTGAGTGGTGTTATCCATAAAGGGAAATATTTATAGTTCAGAGCGTATCAAAATTAAGAAAAATACTTACGTATAATATTTTTCTCTCATCGATTTTTAGCAATAAGATGCGAACGATTTTTAGAAAATAATACTAAATTATATATTTTTAATACAAATTACGAACTTAGATTAAAATCAATTAATTGATCTTCTTATTTTCTTAAATTGATTCTTAATCTTTCTTAATATTAATATTAACAAAAATGTGAAATAAAATAGATTTTTGTTAAAAATATCTTCAATTATCTTCGAGTCTAAGTACAAGAGAGAAAAGATAATTATTTGCCCAACGCACATCTCTTTATGTCCCGGGCCATTTGTTGTCATATATCTTTTAAGCCGTTTCATGTCGCAGCGTAGGTGTGGCTGGGACGATAAACTTGGTGCGTTGGGTCTAACAAATCATCCTCTCTCTACTAAAAAAAGGCAACAATCCTAGAGGCGACGGATTCCAAAATCGTGAGAAGAAAGTCTTAGCGCGGTTTCGGCATCACGTTCCTGCTTTCCCATGGTGCTCTCTTCTCATCGCTTGCCGATACAAAAAATAATGAGATTTCGGAGGCGCAACGGCGAGACTCGAGTGTTCGAGCGTGAGAAAATGCTGAACTTGGGGCTGAAATCACCTTTCTGAGCATCAGGCACGTATCAAAGTGTAGGAGCGATTCCTTCATCTATCACGTGTCCTTTGGAAGGTTCTTCAACCTTCTAGCGAAGGTCGTGTGCGGGGTGATTCGTTATTGGTGGCGGTGGCACGTGAAAAAGCGAATAAAAAATGTAAAAGCTTTCCATGTAAGATTTTATGCTCGAGAAAATACTTTGACAATTGATAACTTCATTCTCCCTCATTTCTTCGATTTTGAATAATATATTTGATTACCCTAGGCTATCATCGATGTACATTATTTTATCATGGCGGTTATTAAAGTACGATAAAAAATTTGATATTTTATTCAATGAAATAACAAAAAGGAATTACATTAAACGAGCAACAATGTAGATTGTAATGTAGATTGTAATGTAGATTTAATAAACTGTTATATTTATTTTTTTTTAAGTAATGTATGTAAATAAAATAAATCTTTTTATACCTGGACATTTTTATATTTATTGGATTCATCGACTTATATGCATCGACTAGAAAATTAAAAAAAAAAAGAAAATAAAAAACGAAAAAACACACATACGTTTCTAAATTTTTAAATTTATAAAAAAAAGATAAAAATTTATTCTGCATTTCCAATTTATACTTTTATAAACCTCATATATAATCAATAGCTATTTCTATAGAAATAATTACAAAAATTAACTGCTGAAAAAATAATTTTCCAACTT